GCGCGCACCGCACAGAGAGAGAGAGAGAGAGAGAGAGAGAGAGAGAGAGAGAGAGAGAGAGAGAGAGAGAGAGAGAGAGAGAGAGAGAGACCCCTAACTAACTACCCCACCCCCCAAAATGACGACGACGATGACGAGCAACAAAAGGAAAAACGACGCGTGCACGTGCACGCGCACCAGAGATCAGCTTCAACAGGAATCTCAGTCGGGGGTGTTTTGAGACTCACCTGTGTAGTGTTGTTGATGTGTTGATACACTGCTGCTGGAGCTCAGAAACCTGTGCAAAGACAGCTTCGACTCATTTCTCCCATTTTCCCCTCATTTCCGTGCGAGCGAAGCCGCAACAGGTACCCTTGTTCCTCTTTATTTTCTCTCTTTTTTGCAGCAATGCAACCTGTTCCTTTGCTGCCATCACAGTTTCATAAATCAGACCTTAGGGAATGCAGACTGCCACAAGATGATAAGCTTGTTTGTTGTGATCCCTCCACCTTGGTGGTGATGTTGGAGGCCAGGGAATGGAAAATGATTCTCTAGAGTCGTGGCGGTTGGACTGCCGTCTTCCCCCGAAAATCAATGCATCCTTATCATGATCGCATCGGGCAAGGAATATATCTTGTATAAGGTGATGATGAGCGACAAGCATGCATTTTATTCGAGGGAAGAGTTCGGGACAATGGGCAAAAACTCTGGAGGATGTAAAGTTGTCTGCTACTCGCAGCGAACAAGGAAAATGAGCCTGGCTCCCTCGGACACAAAATTTTGCGCTATTTATTCTTTCAGGAAATTTCCAGCATGTCTCCCTTTGTGATTTTTTATTTGCCTGGTGGGCTTTGCACATACCAAGAAACAATTACTCTGATAATCTATGCTTCCCTCTGGGCATATGGCACACAACTCTTTGCACCTGCTGCTCTTATCCTCGTGCGAGATGGAATTCCACAATCGCTTATTTAGCCACAAATTTCACTGAGACTGCCGGGTATTCGGTTAGGATTTCTGATTCATTGAGATGCTCAAGATTCTTCCCCATGGAATATTCTGTGTCACTATGGGCTGACGTTTCACGCGCTAAAGTCATCTCTGGCTTAGCAGTCTTATTATCCTTCCTATCCCTCTGCCAGAAAGGGGAAAGTAGTGAGAGTGAGTGGGTTCATTCCTTTGTCGGCAATAGGCAATGTGGTCGTTCATCGGAACTGACAAAGAGCGTAAAGGGAAATGGTGCTCTGAAGGGAGTTCAAGGGCCATAAATAAGCGAAACAGGAAAAAGACCGAGTCTGAGAGAGGTAAAAAACATCGCAAAACTGCCAGTATATTTCCGTAAGCGGAAACTTCTTGTCGTGGTGCACTGCCAGTATATTTCGGTAAGCGGAAAGTTCTCGTCGTCGTGCATCTTGAAACACTCCCGAGGTTGATGGTCTGTTCAGGTACAGGTGCTCTGTGTGGTGTGCTTTATTTGGTTCGGAATGGCAGAAAAAGTCAAAGAGAGAGCGTGACCAGCAGCGCCAGTCAATTGTTCTGAGTCTCTAGGTGTGAACTCTTATCTGATCTTTGTTGGATCAAGACGGAACTATATCTGGCCTTTGTTGGATCAAGACGGATTGGTACGGAATGCATGGATGGATGGATGGATTTCTCAGCCGCACTTACAAAGGTTCTATCCTTCCTATGCGCCCACACACACACACACACACACACACACACACACACACACACACACACACACACACACACACACACACACAGAGAGAGAGAGAGAGAGAGAGAGAGAGAGAGAGAGAGAGAGAGAGAGAGAGAGAGAGAGAGAGAGAGAGAGAGAGAGAGAGGCGTCTTCATGCGGGTTCAGTGAACTCCTGTTGAGTGGAGGGCTGTGTCTTCATGCTTCTGTCATGTGCAGTAGGTTAACTCAGCTGTTGAGCCGCGGCGGAAAAGGCACCAAGGGCGCTGATTGCATCTGCTTCAGCAGTGTTGTATTGGGTTTGTCCCGGGTCAATCTGTTATGAATTGTGGTTCAGGTTGAAGTACAGGTGCATGAGGAGGAAAGTCAACCGATCCAAATGCTGTTGTACATTCGGAGGTACAAAATAGAAGACGTGCCACGGTACTACCCCTCCAAATGCTGTTGTGGCTGACAGATCAAGGCAACGTAAATTGGTCTGTTGGATAGATCAGTGGAGTACTTGAGTTTTTAAAGTTTTTCAATATTATTATTTTTTAATGCATAGTTTTTTCAAGGGAAAAAAAAAAACTCCAGACGAAGCAGAATCAACCATGCGGTGCAGTCTTTGTGGTTGACAAGGAGTGTTCTCTGTAATTCATGGCTTGTAGGTCTGCAGGTGGTTATGATATGTCGGGGGGGTATCCAGATGCCAGCCGGGCAGCCGGTGCCAACGGAAGTGGAGGGGATATCGGGCAGCATGCGGGTGACGGGCCTCTCCTCAGCACAGACCAGGACAATGGCAGCAAAATGGGATCTGGTACACCAACATTACCTCCTTGGCTCGAGGAGTCGACGCCAAATGAATTCACTGTGAGTCTGGCTGAGCATGCTGTGTGAGTAGCATGCCCACTTCAGCTGCCTTTTTTTCTTTTGTAATGGTCTCACCGTCTGATGTTTTGCAGGCTGCGTGAACTTTATGCTTCAACAATTGCTCTCTCTTGCAGTTTTTACTTCTTTTTGTTTTCCTTCTTCGTAATTTTGAATAGCATGCGCTGTCCTGAAATGGTTTTCACCTTTTAGCAGTAGCAGATGCAGTACCCAGGGTTCAATCCCTAGACCTCGTCCCACCCATGTACAGTATCGGTGTAGACCCCGAGAGTTGAACCTGTGACCTGTGTATTCGAAGACAGTTGGTAGGTCTGTCATAGGTCCGTAGGTAGCAGGGGTTCGATCTGTAGACCTTTAGAGTAGAAGTCTTAGCAAGTTCCAGAAGTTTAGCTGTAGTCCTTCTAGAAGGTCGGCAAGTGGGCAAGTGGTCAAGTGGCGAGTCAAGTGGTGGACTAAACTGGAGTGCAATTGCAGTACGACGACAGTAGGTTAGCAGCAAGTCCACAGTCAGTCAGCGGTAAGGTCCAGTCAGTCCCAGTCCGGACCAGCAAATACCACGGGGGACTGTGAGCACCATGGGCCGATGGCAAAGGGCAGACCAACGAGTTTCCAAAGTATAAATCAAGAGGCAGCGCCCAGCCTTGCATTCATTCCTGCGTGAGCCATGCGGAAGCGGTCTGCAGTGAGCCCGGAGGACGCAGTGGGCGAGAGAGGAGCTTAATATAGCGATAGGGTAGAGGCAGCCATAGCTGCTATAGCTGTAGTTAGTGTGAAGTGTGTGCGTGTATGTGTGAGTGTTCAGAGTGATGCGTGTGGGATATCCAGGGTGATCCAGTGTATGTGAACAGTGAGTTGTTTGGGCGCTGAGTCGCCATAGCCAGTTGAGAGCGAACTCGTATCTGGATGCTATATCTCTGAGTTTTGAGTGGGCGCATGTCGCCCGTTTGCTGCGTTGCTGTTTACATGTATGAAAAGTGTGAATGAGAACGAGTCTGATTGCAGTCTGGTGTTATCGCTATTGCTGCAAGCCCTTTGTGGTAGAAACGCCTTGACCTGCTGTCCACTAATTGGTAGTATAGTTAAGCAAACAGGTACACAGGATAGCAATCGTAAGCTGACAGTCAACTTGGGGCTGCAGTTCACCGATGGACAGTTATGGTAGTAAACAGAGAGAAGAGAATGGGAGTGCTTCCTGTTCAAGGGCGTAATCTCCAGGTGAGCAAGAGCGATGGTCATGGAAAACCTGCACACACCCTTTTATTTATCGGGTTTTTGATGATCATTGATGTTTCATTTGGTTTAGTCCTGGCTTATCTTGTTCATGAATCACCTTGTGGACTGATGTGGCAAGTATCTGTGTCTTCGAAAGCCAGACTGCACTGTTCCTATGCTTATGCTCTAAAGGCACGAAAATGAATGCTACTATGTGCTGGATCATGCTTTCAAGCATGAACGTAGCACCCATGGGGCTGGACCCTACATGTACGATGCAGGATTACGCTTTCAAGCATCAACGTAACACCCATGGGGCCGCACCCTAAATGTACGATTGGTTTCCTTCCTGGGGATAGATAGACATCTCCAGAGTCACAGTCACATGTCAGTGCGCCGTACTGAGCGAGGCTCTTATGGGCTACACTCATGAACAGTTCACTGCTCGGATGAAACACCCACGGACTGCACTATCAATGGGGGCAAACAAGTTGGAAAAGAGTTGAAGATCCTGTGATTCATTCCCCTTTGTGTCCATCCAGGCCAGACCTCTCAGTCCCGATGCAAACTACGCTGTGTCCGTCTCAGATGTGGCTTTTTCAGAATCAGCACCCGCTTATTCTCCGTGTGCAGAATCTTCGGACTAGATTCTCCTCTGATGTTCTACCTGTTGTTCTGCTGTCCACGGAGCTTGGCGGGGTGCTCCAGCCGATTTAAACCATCTCCATCCCTCTCAATTACCGTTTTTCTTCGTCCTGTGCTTCCTGGACTCGTCACTGGGGTCCTTGTTCAGGGAATGTTTTCTCAGCTCTTCTGTTGCAGTTGGCTGGGCTCTTTTCACTCAAGTTTGTGTTAGTCCTCGAATGAGATGCAGGTTAACGAATTTCGCCCATCATAGATGCCCCGAGCAAGTCCTCTTCGAATGGTATTCTCAGGAGCGCTTACTGTTGGCAGTGACATGCCAGTGAGGTTAGAGATTATTCTTCATTTTGAGAGAGAGAGAGAGAGAGAGAGAGAGAGAGAGAGAGAGAGAGAGAGAGAGAGAGCTGTCTCT